CTCCCCCTCTGACTACTAGGGTGCCAGTAGTACAATCCCAGTATGTAATTGTGCCTTTTTTATTTCTGAGATCTACTCAAATGGCCTGACTTGAAGACTCTGCTAGGACTTCCTGCCTGATTACTGCAGTGATGGTTTCATATATCAATAGTACAATGCCCCCGTCTCTCTTATTTCCCCCCATCACACCTGAACCTTCTATACCCTGAAATTTTGAGCTGCCAGTCCTGTCCTTCCTTCAACAATGACTCAGTATTTGCAATAATATCATATTCCCACATGTGGATCAATGTTCTGAGTTCAAATGCCTTTTCAGTCAAGCTCCTTGCATTGAAATAGCTTTCTAGATCTTCCATGTACCTTATTCTGCCCATGCTTTCTCCACCTTATTGGACTGTTCTAGTATTCCTCCTATATCTGATTGGACCTTGCTCCCAACTTTACATCTACCCTGTGCCCATTCCCGTCAGATCAATTTAAAACCTCCCTAACAGCATGAGAAAACCTCCCAGCAAGATATTGGATCCATTCCAGATGATGTATAACCTGAAACTCCAGGTTTACTGGAAAGAAAATTGCAGCTCATATATATTACAGCCTTATATTTTGCTCCCCAGCCAATAAAGGCAAGCATCCTGAATGGCTTCTTCACCACCTTATCTACCTGTGCTGACACCTTCAGGGATCTGTGAACTTGTGAACCTGTGTCCCTTTGATTCCTCCAACTGGGAAATGCCAGACTGCCCGAGGGGCCCGGTGAAGCCCAATCTTCAGCCAGTGAGAAACAGGATGCACACACCACACCACAGCTTCGGGCAACTGGGAGCTGCGACACTCTGACAGCCCCTCTGTCTGACTCAGAATTGGACCTTCCATTCCAAACCCGACGACACCAGAGCAGGGCAATCCCTCCAGGGAGGAACAGGGCAGCTACCTCAGTGCAGAAAGTGTTCAACAGTTTGCCCACACCACGGGGATGCAGGGACTCCCTCAGTGACAAGTCTGTGGGTAAATGGACATTGGGTAACTCTATAAACATTTAAAATGGGTTTTAAAATTGCTAGTATTAATGTGGAGAGCGTTAAATCTACTAAATGGTGTGTTTTGACATTGGTTTACCTGGCCAACATCAAAGCAGACCTCCTGTTTCTGCAGGAGCGTGGGATACCGCACCTCAGCAGCGACAGAAGATGTTCGAGCTTATGGGCCCATGGGCCTTCAATTTGTTTGAGGGAAACAATAGTCATTCCTCTGGTCTGGATATTCTGCTGCGAGGAGGCAACTCCACCATCACCGAGGTTAAAGGGGTGGTGGGCAGGTGCCTCCTCATAGCAGACGTTACATACAGGAATACTCCCTTGAGACTAATTACCGTGTACGCCCCTGTGGTACAGAGTGAGGGGCTGTCCATCCTGCAGCAGCTCCCACTGCTTCTGGCGACGTCCAGGCCGGTCATTTGACCAGAGACTTCAACTACATCATCTGCTCAAGGGTTGATTTCCTGTTTGGGTCCTCGCGTTCTCAGTTAGATCCATCAATGTCAAGCTGTTTTTTTCTCTGACTAGTGCCTCCTGTTGGCCAACTGTCACATACAGTCTGACAACCAACAGGCTGGCAAGGGAACATGGAAGCTAAACGTTAAATTGTTGACCCCAGAAAACATTGAGGGTCTCAAAAGGGTTTTGTGGATACTCCAATGTTTTGTGTGTTTACTTGATATGCAACTGTGCAGAACAGGACTGTTTTTATGTCAATGTTTAAATACAAAGGGATCTTATACTGATCAAAGTATACTTTTGAAATAAACATGTCCCTTTGTTTCTCAACACTTCCTAAGGACCTACCATTCATTGTATATGTGCTTCCTGTACTAGATCATCCAAGATGCATCAGCTGGTGGTGGCGGGAGAGAATGCTGAGTCCACCATTGGCAAAGGCATTGATTAAGAAAGCAGCTCTAGCCTTTGTTGCTTATGTCAAGATGTATCTTGTTCTGATTTATTTATTTCCTTTCTGAATTCCCTATCTTTGGTCTTTCCTCTTTTGATATGATTACAGCCCAAAGCCATTACCTGAGAGAAAGAATAATTTTTTCCCAGGCCTCTACAAATTCCACCTGGAACTGGGAATCAAAAAATGTGCAACAATAGGTTGAATGGCTTTCCTTATTAGATTCCATTTGTTCCCTTCCTTCCAATCTAAGACATGGCTACCTGAACTTCAATAATGGCAAATCAAGTTGGGGAACATCTTATTGGAACAAAAATAAAAACAGAATTTGCTGGAAAAGCTCAGCAGGTCTGGTAACATCTGTGAAGAGAAACCAGAGTTAATGTTTTGTGTCTGGTGGCCCTTCCTCAGAACTGAGATCTTTTATTGGAATCCTACCTGTCAGCTAGCATCATACAATACATTGATTATCAATATTTTTTCCTTTATTAATTTACAGGATAAGGGCATCTCTGGCTAGGCAGCATTTATTGCCCTTCCCTAATTACCCAGGGGCAGTTGAGAGTCAACCACATTGCTGTGGGTTTGGAGTCACATGTAGGCCAGACCAGATAAGGATGAGAGTTTCCTTCCCTAAAGGGCATTAATGAACCAGATGGGTTTTTCCTGACAATTGATTCATGGTCATTATTAGATTCTTACTTCCAGATATTTATTGAATTCAATTACAAATTCCACCATCTGCTGTGGAGGGGATTTGAACCCAAGTCCCAGAATGTTATCGTCCAATAATAATACCACTAGGCCATCGCCTCCCCAATGAAGATTGTCCATTGACTTCTTCTTATCCCAGCTGTTTTGGATGAGGCTCCTTAGAGTGAAAGGAAAATCCTGCCTCATTTGCACACTGTGCCGGAAGACTAGCAAAACCAGGAGACGCTTAAACAAAAATAGAAGTTGCTAGAAAAGGTCAGCATCTGTGAAGAGAAATCAGAGTTAACGTTTTGGGTCCAGTGACCCTTTCAGAGGACTGATGGTAGCTAGGAAAATGTGGGTTTTAATGCAGAAGATAGGTTAGGGGGCATGGGGGGGTGGGTGTTGGGAGGAGGAAACAATAGGTGGGGATAGAGCCCAAAGAAAAAGAAAAAATACAGTTGGACAGACAAACAAGTGGATAACTGGCTGGGAGGGTGAATAGCTGTTAATGGAGACTGTTAATGACTAACAATAGGTAGTGTGTAATGGCAGACTATGTGATAACACGGCCTGGTGTGTGGAGTAGGGGGTAGGAGAACCTTACATTGAAAAAAAATGAGAGAAAATTAGCTGGCATTAGACTTCAAAACGCCAATGAAATTTACGAAATTCTAGTAAACAGTTAATACACATCTGTCAATGATACAAGAACCAGACGTTGGGCATCGGTGCCAGTATTTTACAGCCAGAGAGTGACTGCAGACAACAGAACACTTACCAGGAGGCATCACAAGCACTGGTCACTCCAGGAATGAGAAAATCCAGCAGTTGGGAGGTGGCAGCTAGCATTTTATGCAATTCCCTGACGCACATATGTGTCTAAGGTATTATTACCCTTTATAAGTTACGTTGCATGGGATCCTTTCTCCAGGGAAACAGGGACACCTAGTTTACTGTCTTAACATGCTTCTATCAATACCGAGGATTTGTGCATCCTCCTACAAAGACTCATGAATTATGATTTGTTCGCTCTGAAACATAGGTTGCAACATGTTGGGGTTTGGTGGGGAAGGGCTTTCAAAATCATGGTCATGGTGGACATCTCAGGATGCCTACATTCCCCAGGGGTCCATAGTTTATCTTCAAATGTATTCTAGGAATGCTTCTGTTTTATATCCTTTAATGACAAGAATGTGGCTTTGAGTTCATCTTTTGCTCTTGCCGAGAGCAGTTTGGGGATGTACCGGGGGGAGGTGAGGTTATCAGGGGGATTCATTCAGATACTGTTTATGGCTTTGTAGAATCCAAATGGGCCATGTTCCTTATCATGAGACGCTTTCCATATGATTAAGCCCTACGCCGTTTGTACTCAAACACAAATTTTGGGCCGAAAGTGCAGAAGGAATGTTATACTGACAGAGATACCATCATTTGAATATAATAAATTGTGCCACCTGTCAGCCATTTGATAAAAGCAAAGTACTGCAGATGCTGGAAATTTGAAATAAAATCAGAAAACTCAGCAAGTCTGGCAGCATCTGTGGAGGGAGTTAACATTTTCAGTCCAATATGACTATTCTTCAGAATGTTTTTACCCTCTCAAGTGGAAGTAAAAGATCCCAAGTGACGATTCTGAAGCCAAATAGTGGAATTCTCATTATACTTTGCGCAAGATTTATTGTCAACTAAAATAAGTTATTTGGACATTATTTCATTAGTGTTTCTGGGAGCTTGCCATGTGTAACTTGGCTGCCCCAATTCCCACATTTCAACATTGACTGCATTTTAAAAGCATTTGATTTGCTGCAAAGAATTTTTAGGACATCCGGAGGCTGTGAAAGGTGCCATATAAATGCATGTTTTTCTTTCTTTTAACAACAGATGTTGCAATGTCTTATAGAAATAAAAGCTGGCAAAAATAAACTCTTTAAAGGAAAATTAAGTTGTAAAGCAGAATGGCTTTTGACTGTGTAGGTTTTGAATATGTCTTCTTCCTCCAGTGTCACATTATCAAAATAATGCTACCTCTACTACAGAAATTATGGTAACTATGAACTCATTTTTGTATTTAAAAAAAATACTAAAATGGGTCAGCTGTGTAAAAAGCAGAACTCCTGTCCTATGTCAATGTAGTACTTTATGAAAAACTGTTTGAAATCATTCTAAGACTTATTAAAATCCTGCTTGTGCAAATGTTTGTCTTTTGTAACTTTTCTTCTTGAAATGCAAGTGTATAGTAAGTGGCAGCTGTGTTGCAAGACTGTGTTTAGCTGTGAGAGGAGAGGAGGGGGCACCCCAATGGATTGCTGTTTCCTTTCCAGTCTGGCCTGACCCCAAGGCACTGGAGGGGAGGTTTCTGCAGAAGGGTGTCAGCAGATTACTAACAACTTCTTTCCACATCAGGAAATGGTTTGACCCAGGCTGTTTGTTCCAAACTGGCTCTTTTTTGCAAGCTGCAGATTCTGTATCTGGTGGTGTCTTAGTGGAGTTTCTCTCTCTCGTTCTCTATCATCCAGATTGTTAATGGAACAGAAACACTTTCTGAGCCGGGGGAATTCAGCAGTGTGACAAGCAAGGAATGGCTCATCATTCCAAATCTCCGTTAAGACGCTCCTTCAGCGAACATATTAAAGATTCGACCAACAAAGCATGGAATATAATCTGGAAAAATACAAGGGAGAAAAGACTTTCAGGTCAGTGCATCTTTTTGTTCTATTCCTAGTGTTCTATGCCTGATCTATAAGCTCATTGTTCACTATCAAGCAGTAACATTGATTATATTACAGATTGTATTATGTTCAAGTTTCAGCTCAATTCCTAATTCTGACTAAATAAATAAGAAAATTGAGTGAGCATGTTAGCTCAGTAACTACTTCCCTGCTTTATCATTGGTATCTTCAATGTATTGAAAGCTTCTCTGAGAAAAGAACCTGCAAAGAAAACCTTCCTAGGGCTTTCACTTATATTATTGAATGTCAAGGGATAGTAAAGTCACTGGATGTGCATGAGTCAAACATTGAAGGCTCATGATGTGCAGTCAACATTCAGGTGACATTTCTGCATCTGTATGTTGGAGCACGGTGTCAGCTGATCTTGACAACCACAAGAAAGGGTAAAAGGAGGAGGTAGAGTCTAAACTTGTCAGTTTGCTAACCTGCACATGAAGATTTACTCACCCCCACAAGTTGAATCTTAAATGTTCAGAATGTATGGGCGATTACAAATCCCTCCCAACCCCAGTACTTTCAGTTTTCCTTCTCTTCCTCCTATAAACAAAACCGAGACTGGTACCCATGGCAAATGTTTTACAGTTTTTTTTAATTCCCTTTATGTTCCACATAAACTGGGCCAAATAAACTATTTGCTCCAAAACTCATTTCTGAGAAATTGTCAGTCCACTAGCTTTTAACTTTGAGTATTATTATTTGAATGTGGACATGACTAAAATCAACACAGTATGAATGAATATTTGTGCTTCAATAAAAGCATCATCCATTTCTGAGATATTTTATTGTAGTAAGAATGATTCAGTGAGTTTATCCAGTGAGCACAGACAAGAATATTCCAGGTTCAATTCAAGATTATTTTTATATCCAGAAGTGCTCTTATACACAATGGAACAGTATTTACTCCCCATCACCAAACCACCCATGGTATTTTCTTTCTTCTTTTAACCACCAGCAGTAAATCACCTGTGTTTCCAATTGAATAATTTATGTGCAAAGCCCATTAAGAGGATTGGTTTGTTCAGTTGGCTGGACAGCTAGTTTGCAATATAGAGTGATGCCAACAATGTGGGTTCGATTCCCACACTGGCTAACATTATCATAAAGGGTTCTCCTTTGCAAACCTCTCCCTTGCCCAAGGCATAGAGACCCTCAGGTTAAACTGCTACCAGTTGTCTCTGTCTAATGGGAGAGTGCTGATATCAAACAACAAAGCCCATTAAGAGCAATGCAAGCCATCAAAGATGAGGCAGCACAGTGGCTCAGTGGTTAGCATTGCTGCCTCACAGCGCCAGGGACCTGGGTTCAATTCCACCCGCAGGTAACTGTGTGGAGTTTGCACAACCTTCCTGTGTCTGCTCTGGTTTCCTCCCACAGTCCAAAGATGTGCAGGTTAGGTGGCTTGGTCATGCTAAATTGTGCAGAGTGTCCAGGGATATGCCACCAAGATGGATTAGCCATGGGAAACATGAGGTTAGACGGATAGGGTAGGGGGTTTAGGTCTGGGAGGGATGATTTTCAGGGACTCGACAGGCCAAATGGCCTGTTTCCACACTGTTGGGATTCTATGTGAGGGAGATGTAGGAAGGGGATAAAATGAAACTGGAGTTTTGAAGGGTCAATTTAAAACCTGTGCTGTTAATTGATCTCAATCAGGTGAGAATAGGAACATTATAACTGCCTCAGTGCCTTCAGTTAGTTATGCAGTAATAGCTGATGGAAATACATTATGTGGTCATCAGGTAAGGGTAGGATCAGACTTGGGTCTGTTAATGCCCATGGGCCAATAGAAATCTGATCTATACTGTCATATCTCCCCCATTAAGAATAACCACTATAGAAAGGTGCCAGTGAAACCCTACAGCAAGAGGCAATGTCTTACATGGGTGAACATATCACTGATACCCACACAGAAAGATGCCACAATTTAAAAAAAAGTGAAATCACCAGGTCATCTACTTTTGAAGGTGTTGGAAAATGGAGGGTCTGTTGGCCAGGATTCAGGTAAACCTTTACTCTTGTTTAAATACTATCATACATCCAGCAGTGCACACAGAGAGGCTGAACGTCGTACCACAAAGCTGGCATCTCCAGCAGTGCAGCAGTCCCTTTGCAATGGACTAAAATGTAAGCTTAGGTTATGAGCTCAAATCTGTCCTGGAACTTATAGAATATATAAATTGATTTCTGGGAATCAATTATGGGCTGTATTCCAACCAAGATATTCAGTCTGTTTATGTATTAAAAAAAAAATTACCCAGAACTGCTGCCTAATTGAGAAATTCGGATGGTTTCTATGTATAATGACATGTATGTAGGAGTGAGTAACAGGCTGTAATGTAATTACAGTGTTCCAATAATATTATAAAAAATGGAGACAGTGCAGGAGGGATGCACGGTCATTCTCGGAATCTTTCAAATTAGATCGCTGCTTTCAGTTCCTGGCAGAACTGCATATCTTTTCAGATTCAGACAGATATCTCATTTTTGAGTATGAAGGTACATCTATGCAATTCAGGACATTATACAGAAAGCCCAGCAGTGTTTTATTTCAGTTTTTTAAATAGCTAATTACAGCAATATTTTATGTCAGAAATACATTTTGTAGAAGTGTGATTACTTTCTAGTTTAGTGCAGTTACATAGTATATTGGAGCAGTGCCACATGTGAACTGTACTCAGGCCCAGATGCGTAAATTCCCTCAGTCAGATATCAATCTTCATCATGCTGTTGTGGGAAGGTGCCAAATAGAGGTCAGGAGTTTCTTTCTTCACAGAGGGATGGAGACAATCTATATTTATATAAAGCCTTTGAAGTGGTAAAACATCTCATGGTGCTTAAAGAAGGAAACGTTCAGATACTGAGCCTTTGCAGATGGATTAGAAGACGTGACTGAAGATTTGATCAAAGCCATGCATTTTGAGAAGGTTTTCAAAGGAGACAGGAGATAGAAAGGCAGCGGAATTTGAAGAGGGAGTTGCAAAGATTACAGCAGAGGAACCTGAAGTTTCTGCCACTGAGTGGAAGTAGTGAGTGAAATGCGTAGGTCGTTAGCATGAAAGCACTGAAGGGCATCAGATAACATTTAAGGCTAATGTATCTTGCGGTGGCATGTGATACTATCCATAAAATTATACATGTTTACTAGGCTTTTAAATGTTACACATTGCGGAAGAGGAGTTAATGCTGAACAAGGGTCACTGGACCCAAAACATTAGCTCTGATTTCTCTCCACAGATGCTGCCAGACCTGCTAAATTTTCCCAGCAATTTCTGTGGCTGTTACCCTGCTGCTTTCCCCTCCAGAGGCTGTGCAGCAGCTGATGGTGGCTGCATTTGTTGTTGTTAAAGATAGAGTTATTTTTCCTGTCTTCTGCAGCAGTTCCTTTACAATTGCAGAATAGCAAGAAAAACTGCTGGATTGACCTGTACTATGCCTCCTCAGCTTACAGCAGATCTGTGAGAACAGTCTCAGTCAGAGAAAATACACACAGTCTTAAAGGGATACCACACTCCTGATATCCTTGCACACTAAACACCTTACAGAGAACAGTGCCACACCTGGCCGGGCCTCAGGAGGTATGCATTTTATTTGATTCTGCATTGTTACATTTCTTCAGAGGAAAGCTGTTGCCACCAGCCTCCCAGGAGAATGGAAGCACATATCTTTGTGGAATTACTTTGAAGCCTGACAATACCTATTCTCATGCACAGTAGTAATACTGATCTCATGACATCAGGTTAAAGTCCAACAGGTTTATTTGAAAACACAAGTGTGGTAGATCAGTGATATATTTCGTGAGAGACAGCATTTGAAGATGCATTCACTGACCTAAATGTGGCCTTCAAATGAAGCAGTTGCCGGAAGCCTGCCCCCAGCACACAAACCTACCACAGGAGCCTGTTCCTAGGTAACCTTGTCTTTTGTGTAAGGAATTAGCAGCTGCAGTGTTATGGCTTACAGTCTTATAGATTGTGTGCCTTGGCCAAAAGTGAAGATGAGATTTTTATTGTATGCACCTTGCCCCATGGACTCTTGTCGACCTCCTCCATTGTGGCATAATGTATTCTCAATCAGTCTATCATGAGACAAGGTCAAAATTAGATGGTCTTAGAAATGTTGTCATTCTGAATGACCATGAACTCACTAAAGTAGATAGACAGCATAGTGTAATCACTGGACTTTCATGATAATGGATTAGCCTTTAGGAGGCCTTACATTTCCATGCTGAACTCTGAGATAGTAAGAACCGTCAATGCTGGAGTCAGAGATAACACAGTGTGGAGCTGGAGGAACACAGCAGGCCAGGCAGCATCAGAGAAGCAGGAAAGCTGACGTTTTGGGTCGGGACCCTTCTCCCTTTCCAAAAATAGTTACTTATTCCTCCGACATCACTTTGTTGATAGCTAAACATTTTTGAGCAGTTGAATTTAGCATCAATGTGGTGAGCCTAAGACTTTGTGTTCAATAAAGTGACTTGCATTCTCTGCCTGTGTCCCCCAAAACAATCCCATTATGGTTATGTCAAATTTCCTGTGGTCCCAGTGACCTTTCATCCTCTCCTTTTTTTGATTGAGCCCCTTTACATCACCATTAATGTGCCCATTTAAACCAGGTGCCCCTGACTATCAAGGTATTGATGACACTTCTGATCCTGCACTCTCCTAGATCAAGGCCATGAATTATCTTGATGATATCCTAAGAAAATACATTTGCCATCATGGGAAGAACTTAATTGAGGAAGTTTATCTCAATGAAGAGAATCTGATATTTAAACTCTCATCCACTTAACTCATAACATTTGCAATTATTCTCACCTCCACAGGCAGAAGGAAGTTGTGCCCTTGCACTTTCACAAGCTGTACTTCAAAACTTCCCACATTGCTTAACATTTGTTATTATTAAAAATGCTAAAGCCTAGAATTATGTTATGTCTGATTTAATAAAGGAGAATTGAATTACTCATC